TATCCAACTAGCTCTGCAATTAAGGTTTCCTACTGAGAACAACGACAGCATTATGACCTGGGGAATTTTCTACATAAAAAACCTCTTTGCATCTGGGATTGAAAAATTTAGAGCCTTAAAATCCAGCTCCTACACTGATGGTATTTGCCACCATTACAGATCCTAAGGAACTCTAATGCCAGTATGCATATGAGAAAATACGTGAGCTGTGATGAATGAAGTGCCAATGAGGAGGGAGACAGGCAGCATATCCTCTGTGAAGAATCTGAAGTGCTGGAACTCCTTCTTGCCTTCCCAAGTATGGATTATTTTATTTTTTAAATTCAACATGTACCAAGTTGTCATACAACCTGTTCAGAAAGAAATATTCTGATGTCTTAAGAAAGAGACATTTAAATGTCGTGATTTAATTTCTGTTATACATTATTACATATGCTACTGCTGCCTGTGGCTAGTTTTATATTTGAGCAGAAGAAGAAACTTGGAATTTAATGGAAAGAACCCCGTGTATCTTAATGGAGAACTTGTATTACTGCACAAGTGTCTACCCATTCTTTTTCTGCTTCTTGTTTTTTTTCTCGTTTATCTATGGCCTTCATCCATTCCTGTCTTCAAACTGTGCTTTTATTCACCCTAAATAGTTAGCAGACTACAGCAACAAAGAGAACTACTAATCTCAAAGAGACTGGACAAAGTCATAAGAACCTTTTTATCTGCCTTCAGTTGTAAGATTATTGTCCTGAAATGAAAATTAAGTTTTCAAGATGAGGTTGGATGGGGCTTCGAACAACATGATGTAGTGAAAGATGTCCCTAACCATGGCAAAGAGCTTGGACTAGTGATCTTTGGAAGTCTCTCCCAGCCCAAAGAATTCTGTGAGTTTATGATAATTCAGAGAGAGCATCAAACTCTTGAAACTCACAGTTAAGACTGTGCAAGGCATAGGCTCAAACATTCCAATGACTGTAGGGCTATTCACAAAAATCTCAATTAAACTCAGAGGGCTTATCTTGATATTTTTACTTTTTATATATTTTAAGATCATGTGGACTTTTAAACACTTCTTGAATTAAAAGTGTTCAGTCTTATTTTCAGAAAAGGGATATGTATTTTAACCGTGATGATTAACCACATGAAATTAAGGGAATGTAGTTATGATCCATGTTTCCAGCATCAATTCTTGAGGGTCTAGCTTAAAAACACACAACTAAAATGCTGCAACATTCAAGGAGTAAGTTCTTAATTGAAAATGAGACCCACAGAGAAAGCCAGGCTGAATACACACAAACTCTATGAGCCGTGTCACAGCAAGCCTTTATAGAATGGCCAACACCAGTGTTGCATGGAAAAGTGAATAAGCTAACAGATTTGTAATGTCTGTTGTTTTCCTCCATCTTAGTGGAGGGGGAAAATGAAAAAAAAAACAATTCTACAGAAATGAATTCTGTTATACAAACTCATACTCACTGGCAATTTAAGCAATGAACTCTTCGACCTGTAGTTTTAACTTTAACCAGAGAACCTCCTTTGCATTTCTTTAGATTTTGACTTTCCACATTTTTCAAAATCTGAATGTTACAAAAATTGATCAGGAGCTGAAGTTAGGCCACTTGAATTTTTTTCCATTAGCAATTCTTATTGTAGTATGTATAAAAGGGAGCTGCAGCAAAAGTGGTGCATATCCTGAACACCACCAGGCTCCTCCACAGTAAGGGAGAACGGGTTCTGAACATACAGGGAAGAGACAACAACTGACTCTGATATTTGAGCACATTGGGTGATACTACTGAGAGAAGTAATCTTTGGTTGCTATTAAGCTGGTGAAGGGGAAACAAATATTTTTTCAGACAAATGTTAAGTGCAGATGGTTTAAAATTATTCAAAACCTTAAATAAACAGTTAAAATTGTTACATGCACAGAATTAACAATTATTACATTTTACGTATAAATTAAAATGGGTTTACCACTATGGCACTCTTTAACCTAAAAATTCTTGTGTTTTCAAGACATTATCAGACAATGACATTAAAAGAGAGAATTTTATAAAAGTTTCTTCTGGGTCTGTATTCAGGAATAGGTAAAGGTGAAGTGGTTGTTAAATATAAATCTTTAATCTGAATATAGAAATTTGTTTGTCATTCTGAAATATAAAACAATAATTTTACAAGCCATTCATGTATAATATAGTCCACTTGATAGTAAAGAAAAATTATTAGTGCATCTCTAGCTATTATTATATGTGGCCAGTTAATGCTAAATGGTATAGGACTTCCTTTTTTTTTTCAGTTGGAAGAAATTGTATTATTGAAAGCTAATCTCAGGTTTACTACTGGACTCTGTGGAATTAACACACTGGAGGCCTCTGTATTTACACCTGGGTAGGATAATGGCAGGAACTGAAGATTAATAGAGCTTTCTCTTGCATGCACAACCTATTCATTATTTGCTTGTCTGTTTATTTTTGTAGGAAATTTACTTCTGTCAGGAGTCCTATAACTTACTGAATTTGAGGAAGTAGCCACTGCATAGAACTTTTTCCACAAAACCTTTTTCACAAAACCTAAACATATTTTAAGTGCCAACCAACCTCTTTGGTTTTGTTTTAAATTATGCTGTTCTAATAGGAACCATTTTTCTGCATGCTTACATTATTTTGTCATAGAAAGCTTTAATTACATCATGAAACAGAGCATCTTAGATTTTTGGCATTTTACAAAAAAACAGTACTAAAATATGACCCCTGGGTCATGGGGCAGTGACAGTGCACAGCCTGAACTAACTTCTGTAAAAATCATGGAGATACTGTAGCTGATTCAGCTGCATTTCAGCCAAAGCATTACAAAGAGCATTATACAAACATTGTAAGAAAAAAACATCCTTCTCTACAGCAGAATATACTCTCTAACTGGACGCTGCTTAACCTTAAATAGAGAAGGAATAGAGTGCCAAGTTCTGGAGGTTTTAGCATCACACCTGTGCTGGAATGTCTCAATCATCATCATACTCATTTTCAGGCTTTTAAGCAAGAGATAAAAAGCTTTCTCTGATTTCTTAGAGTACACTCAGTCAAAGTCCCACATCAACAGCCTATGTACTCCACAGGTGAAAGTTCACAAGCCCTTAAGTTTTCAGTTGTCTGTACATAAATGAAAGGGGAGATGAGCCATGATAACTAATTGTTCCTGACTGAACAGGGGTGTGCAAGGTAATAGATTGATAGTAAGGATGATACAGGCATTACAGCTTGAATTGAGTATAAATCTTAAACTAGCAGATTGGTTAAGACATGCCTGCAGAAACAGCTTTGACCTTAAAGTCACAATAAAAATCTGTCTTATTTACCACACCAGTGTACTAATATACAGAGGTAATAGACATTAGATCAGCATAATATTATACATTGAATGGCTACTATATTTAAAGTCGACCTATCAGAAGTGGGCAATGATGAATTGAGGTTTTTATGCGTGAATTACCACATACAGATTAGACACTGCATTAATTTTTTTAAATACTTGTTACCTTTATTTGTAAGAAAAATATTTATTTTGTTTCGTTTAACATTTCAGAGGGAACTGAAGTCTATTCTGTAAACAACAGAATAATAGGTCAGTAACACAGTTTATAAACTCTGCTTTCAATCCATGCCATAGTGCTTTGAGAATGTGTCAACACTCAGTGATTTCCTTACCCAGCTCAAAAGCATCTTGGAGGCACCCCGGGCAATGTCTCATATACAGCCATTGAGGGTTATCCGCTCCAAAATAGCTGTTATAATCTGAATGGAAGAACCATAAATGATTCAATTGAAATCATGCCTGAAAATGCAAAAGGAAATGAACACAGAACAAGCTATAACATTAGTGGGTCTAACAGTGTGCACACCTGAAGGTCTAGAATTGAAGACTTTGGTGTTTCCCTTGCAGTCATCCTACTCTATGAGAAAGCTACTTCAAGATGCTGAGAACAGTACTTACAAAATTGACCTTTACTGTTGTTTAGAAGAGTTATTTTGCACCATTTCAGATGTAAACAAAAACATCCAGTCACCTCTGACACAGCTGAAGCTTGGTAGAGGCTCTCTCCCCACCCTTTCTTTTATCTTTGAAAGACTTTAAGTGTTTATATCTCTACTGTGAAGTAGTTCTAGTATAGTACATAGCACCTACCTAGTCATAGCCTTCATAGTAAAACTGCTTTAAATAAAAACATACAGGCTAAATACTGGATCCAAGTGCAGCTTTGTGATTTTTTTTTTAATTTTAATTTTATGAAGAAATTTGATTGGAATTTTTTTTTCTTCCAACAGAAAACTAATTGAAGTCTATACATCAGATCAGATGAAATTCCCAAAACACATGACAATTGCTTCTATAATCGAGGGACCAGTAAAAAGCAGTATACTTAGTAGAATAATTGTTATGGTTAAAAAGGACACCTTAGATTTATTTTGAAAGACAACTACTTTTTAAATTGTTTTCTCTTTGCCTACACATAACAAATCTTTATTTTCTTCCATTAGGAACCATAAGGTTTTAAAATACTTTGTTTTCAAAATCACTTCAGAGCAATAAAAGGAGGGATATAAGAAGCAGGTGTGTACTTTATGTAGTAAACTGAAATATCAAATAGTATGAGCAAGATAACATCTAATTGTATATTAAGTATCGCCTGAGGGATCAGCAAGGCGATCTGCAAGTAATCAGAAGTTATTTGGTTGAAGTAAACATGTGCAACTGGCATCAATCCTAAAGACATTCCAAAGGTATGAAGATCTTTATCAATCATGTCCTATCAAAATGTATAGAATCCCTATACGACCAATGACCTCCTATTGTGAGAAATAGCTGCAATTTACTTTGCCATAAGAGAAAGGCCTTACTCTTTCCAGATTATGTACCCTGCTGCTTCTCATACAGAAAAGCATTCTAAAGAAGGGCAGTCCTTAAAAAAAAAAAGAGGAATACAGTAACAGTTTAATTACTTTTTACTGTTTTATTTTCTCTTTCCAGGTATACTACCAAATATGTGTCATCTTCTTTCTGACAGACACAACATAGCACAAAAATTCTTCAACAGAAATCTGAATTTTCCACTGCTGGTGTTGCTATTTTTTAAATTGGTTGACTGTCAGAACTGCTTTGAAAACAGGTATCCTTTGCTTTTAAATTTTTTTCCACACTACAATAATCTTTAGCATCCCAATTATTTTTGTGTGGTTGATACTGTGTCTTAAAGAGAATTAATTTGACACAAAATATAAAAATATTTCCTATTCTTTTAAGGAGATAAAAATATTCCTTTGAGTCACAGTTTTCTTGAATATTTTGGTAGATATTTTAGTGTTGCTGCACTATGACAAAGTATTTTTACTGGAAATTTCTGGTAACAATGTATTTTACTAAAATAATGTTCAATAACCAGAGACATGTATAAACCAAAAATTGAAAAGGTGTTAAAATGTTCAACAACTGAGACAAAATACTGGCCCACTAACAATTGTGAAATGATGCTTCCTCTTGACTTCATTGATAATTTTTTCTTCAATCATGCATCAATTTGAATTACAGAATCTTGAATTCCGATTAAGAATAAGGTCCTGCATTTATGGAAAAACTGAAAGACAAGATGGTACTGAGTCTTCTGCTAAATCCAGAAAATAAGAACACATGACACTGGGAGCAGCCTGATGGTTGTGAATTCAAGTGAAGATTGGGAGTTGATGCTTGTGGCTCCTTTTGTGGTAAGCTTTTACCATACTGCAATAGTACATTATTTTATTTTATATTTCTTCTATCCAGAATAGTGTATGTTGTGTATGTGTATAATAGAGGACATCAACCCTATTCAATCCCCAATACTCAGAGAGAAAAGGAAAAAAAAATTACAAAGCTCTTCTCTCTTGCATTGTGAGGAAAACCTCAACCATAGCAGAATATAATACTCATCTTGAGAAGCATTTACACTGTCACTCTTATGGGAATGTTATTAAAAGCAATTCTATTCACTACATATTCAAACAACAATAGTGGAGGGATGGACTTCATGGCAAGCAAGAAACCTCATGAACCCCAGCCTGAATGAGGCCTGTTCTTTTGTATGTTTACATCTTCTATTTAAGTGCAATTAACTGAATTCCTACAGTTCAATACTTTTCAAGACCATGTCAATTCTCTACATTTAATGCAGTAGGAAAGGACATAGTATGTGCCCACCATTGGGACATTTACAGAGCCTCTATATCTTCTAATGATAATTTCATAAGCATTTTTGTTGCACTCAACCACTAAATTAGAAAGCTTTGCATGGAAGCACAACAGATATCTGTTTTTCTGAGCATCAAAAGTTGCAGAGCCCTCTTCGTTGTCCTTACTGACAGCTCACATTCTTCCAAATCTCTTACTTGTGCAGTGTGTCTGCTGCTACTACTGTCTACACATAAAAAACAAAACAAGCCCTAGTTTGGAAATCTCTCACTAAGTCTTTCCAAAAGCCTTGGGAATACTGTATACTCTTTTTTGTTCCTTGGTGCTAATGTCCTGAGCCCCACATTCAGATTTTAACACTGACCAGCATTCAGCCAGAAAATTTAAAATTGGCTTACCAATTTACCTCCAATGAGCACCTTGTTAACCTGGTGTAACTGTGTGGTGTGTCTGAAGTCACACATGTGAGTGAAGGTTATTTCAGAAGGAAAGGACAGACTGAAAGAACAGCCTATATCCACAAGGAAAAAGTAGAGTAGACATTTGAGCAAACTGTTTAACTTTAAAGGCAATTAGGCAATGAAATTACTTGCCTGAGGAGGTAGTTTAGACAATGTAATGAGAAGTGCTTAAAATAGAATAAACTGTTTGCAAGACAGATACAGATGTAAATAATCCTCCATGTTTTGAGCTAGATGAATCAGGAGAGGTATCTTTTCTATTCAAATGTCTGACTAAAAATGGTATTCTCTTTCTTTGGGAACTGCTTTCCAACTTATGACTGTTTACAATATATTATACTTATACTGTTCTGAATACTAAAGTGAAACTGCACTCCAAAATGCAGTTTAACCTCACTGTATCATTATAAAGTGCATTTATTCATAACAAGCATCTATGAAAAACTTCCAACAAAAAAGTCCTTAGTCAGGGAGATGCACATTGTTGCAAAAATGGATTGTTTCTCTAAGTGCTTATATGGCCCCATTGCTATAGCATCCAAGTGCCTTACAAACATTAATGAATGTATTCTCACAACACCCCTGGGAGATAGAGATAGTATTATTAGCTAATGCACAAAGAGTAGCTTGTCCAAAGTCACACAGAAAGTCTGTGGCACAGCCAAGACTCAAAACTGTGATTTCCTGCCCACTGCTGTAACCATGACTATATTCTCCTATCCATATACAGCATTTCAAAATTTGTTACATATAAGCTCAGATCTTTACACAATAAGCCTTTCTGTTCAGCTGCAGATCCAACCACTGACGTAATAAAGAAAAATAACTTTGTTTATCTGGAAGCTTCATTACAGCAACAAATTTGCAGGTTACTCAAACAATGACAGTTATATGGACCATAACTGGTACTGATATATAAGAGCAATGAAAGAGAATTCCCTGATCATCACATTCAGAACAGAAGGCATCATATCCAGAACATGGCTTTGATACCTAAATATTTTCCTTCAGATAATGTACATTATACAGAGAAGTCTTGTTTTGAGAACAAAGGGAAGAAAAAAAAAAAAAAGAAAAAGAAAGGCTTGCTGTATTCCCCAAATAGTTTCTTGTGGGTAAACTATTTCTGCAATAAAAGGACACACACTGTATTTCTAGATGTAATGAGGTCAGATCTGGAGGGACAACTGCAGTAAGTGTATTTACACCTGAATATCAGAGAAGAGAATATGGCATATATTCGATATTATTATCATGTAAATATATGATATTGAGACATGATAGATAGATAGATAGATAGATAGATAGATAGATAGATAGATAGATAGATAGAATAGTTTTGCAGTCATTTAATGGATTCCTAGATCTGAACAAATGATAACAGGATTACTCTAAATTAGGAACGTAGCAATTTGTCTTTTATTTTGGCAAAGGGGAAGCACAGGCATTAAATTTTTTTTCTCAAGTGCCAAACAATTAAAAAAGAGAAAATTGTGGACAACTGCATAAATAATGGAAAATGGTATGATGGTATGGTGGATCACAAAGTCCAAAAAATCCAAAAAAATACAGTATTATTGTAACAAAGTGAAGTATAATATTGGAATTTATTGGCAGAAACAGAAAACAAGGTAAGTAGTGTCTCCTGAATTTCCAACAACAGCCCTTTTCTCAGTTCATGACTTCATCTTTTAAGAAAGATGCAGATAAATTAGACCTGGTTTTAATTAGACCTACCAGATAGGAAAGGGGATTTACATTAGATGCTAACTGAAAACTGTTAGCTCATCTGTCAGGACAATTAAATAAATAATGGAGCTGTTTATTATTGATAGTGAATCCACATTTCAACACATGTTTAAGAATAAATTAATCCCATTGGGGTGATCCTAATTCTCATAGGAGGATAGGCTAGACAGTGTCCTCAGATCCACTTGAGCCTAACACATTTGATCACTGTTCAAACAATTATTCAGATTGCTTATTGTTCAAAAACAACTATTGCAGAATCTCCTATCACCTCTCTCCCCATCTCTATTACTTTCTTTTCTTTTCTTTCTTCTTCTTTCCCCCATCAATTGTCTCTCTTTCAGCCCTCCCTCTGTCCTTTCTGTGTGCACTTAAAGTCACACATCCTTATTTGGATTGGAAATTCCTGAGATGTCTGCCTTTAGCAACCTTAGCATGTTAAAGAACATCCTATTCTTAGAGATCAGATATGTGTTCCCTACAGACTACATCAAGGTCTAAATTTAGATAAAATATTCTTTAAGCTGCTCATACTCTCACTACAGGACCGGAAAACTGCAATGAGTTGGTACTTCTGGGTAATTTTTATTATCATTTTTATTACCAAAGTAATAGGAAGATAGACTGTACATTAGCAAAATTATCAGGTTAGAGAAAAAGAGACTCTTGATACTGAAGAGCTTAGGTGCTCAGCTCAGTTGCAGGAATAGTTTCTCATTTTCTCTGGTTCTCCCAAGCACAGGGTCAGATTTTTTTGCCTGTTCACTACCATCACAGCTACCTGTTCATGTTTGCACATGCACAAAACTTCCTCTTATTAAACCTGTGGGTCATTCTGTTTCATAAAAACCAATGTGAAAGACAAAAAACTGTCCTGTACCATAAATTTCTCTCCTTTTATTCCTTTTGACACTGTTGACACAGGGATTGGGTAGAGATAAATGGAAGTGCACTCAAATGAAAGGATAATGGGATTTAATAGTTCCTAGTTCTAGGTGAAATGCAGTCAAACAGGAGTGTAGGAACTGTTTCTAACAAAGGACTAAAGGAAGACTTTCCACTTAGAGCACCCTCTTGGAGATATAATTCCCCCCTGGGACTATTTCCTAATACTGAAATCAGGCCATGTTATCTGGTTAGAACAGGTTCTTTGCCCTACTTTGCTCCCACATACATAAAGGTGACTGGGAAAAACTATTATGTTATCTGAAATTATACAAAAGCCATAATAGTATCAATAAATGTATTTTGACTTTTTGAAATAGCAGTCTGCATATCTCCCACTAAGAAGGAGTACAGTCCCCTATACAAAAAATCCATATTCACTGGCACAGAGGTTATTAGAATAGCTATATTTATGTGCAGTTTAGAAGGGACAGTATAAAGGACTGACTAAAAGCTCACATGTCTGGCAAGTCAAGAAGTGCACACATGAAGAAAAATCCTTACTTGATGAGAAAATCAGCCTTTGCCTAGAATGTGCAGGAGCCTGCAGGACGCTTTTCAGACAATCTGGAAAGAAAGACTACAGAAGTTACAGCGGGTACCAGAGAGCCCACTTACAAGATGTTAGCAAGGGCCCTCTGCTGTGAAGTGTGTGGAGTGCCTGGCCAAACACTAATGAAGAAAGCCACAGGAATCCCATACTGGAAACTGAAAGTTAAGCAGTTAAATATGAACATATGGAGCTAGGCAAGCTGTAGGAGCCCCAGACAGTGGTGATGGTTTAGACAATAGCGCTCGTCATTCCTCACAGGATGATCATATCAATGAGAAGAGTCTCAGAATTGTATCAGTTAAAATGGATGGCTTCACTTAAAATGGACAACCACCATGAACAAAATCAGTGAAGGGAGTCATGATGACTCAGTGAAAAAAAGCCCAAACCCATAAAATGTCTCTTGGCATTTGGTCATAATCAGCATTGTGCTAATTTTATCAGGAACTAACAGACTGTCAACAGCATAGAGGGGGAAGATCTTAGAGAATGGCATGTGAAGCACATTCACTCTTGTGAAAGGTGATACTTTTATTCTTTGTGTTAATAATCTTTGATATAATATGACAATTCTAAAATACAGTCAGAAATTTAGTTGTGGAGTAATGTTCTGTAACTTTTGATTTTGCTTGGTTTATTTTGTGTCAGTGCTTGACTGCTGGAAAACACAGGGCCTTTCTGACTTTCACACAAAAAACAAGGGCCCAATGAGTGAGAAATGTTTGAGGAATCACTGCTAGCTATCACCTAGAATCTCAAATGAAAACATGAGTCTGCTTCATGTAGCTTCATTTCACTTGGTAACAGAGATAATTTCCTCTCATTTTACAGTCTTTGACTCACAGACTAATTGAAGTTAGAAGAAACTTCGGGAGATCATTTAGTCAAATCTCCCTGCTCAGATCAGGGTCAGCTGGGGATACAGGTAACTCAGAATTTTCTGTGAGGATGTAGATCACCAAACCCTGGTGAACATCCTCTCTAGTGTTCAAACACCCTTACAAATACTACTAATAATAATAATTCAAATTGTATTTCAATTTGTGCCCATTTTATCTTGACTTTCATAATAATTTTATATATTTTATATAATTATTATTATTATTATAATTTTATATATTTTATTTCATAATAATAATTTTGTCAAAACTCAACCAAAATCAAAGGAGACTCTTTCTGAGAGAAGGGGGTGACAGAAGCTGTTTCTGTTCAGCTGAGCAGTAGCATGCAATACTAATTAACACATGGGTCTACAGGCCACCATGGCAAAGATGCGTTCCATAAGCTTCCACATCCACAGAAATTTTACTGCAGTCAACTCCACATGAGTCCTGGCAATAAGATACATGGATAATGTTTTCTTGCTCCAAATCTTTATCTAGAATTTATGTTATTTGATAAGGACAACAATGACACCTACTTGGTGGTCTATTTCTAAGAAATAAAAATTCGCAAAACACCAACAAAAGTTGGAGCTGAAGCAGCTTACAATATTTATTGCTAAAACAAAATTTAAAGGAACATTTTAAAATCCATGTAGAACATGCATATAGCAGATAAAAATGAAAATATTAATAGGATTTTAAAACTTTGCTCAAATTATCAGAGATTAAATTCTTAATGACTGAGTAAAGAGGTTAAGGAAAATAAGAGCAAAGTGTTAATTGCATCTTTAAAAATTCTGCTGATTTTATTTTGTTTAATTAAAGATTAATAGTTTTAACTCTTTCTCAATAATGAGTAACATAACAGGGTAAAATCACATTCCAGACATTACAAAAAAAGGTATTGCAGGGAAGCTGAGAGACAATATCACATCATGCTTTATTTTTTTTTTAACAAAATAAAGGGAAAAAGAAGAGACATAAATAACAAAGCCCCAATACCCAATATCTTGGTTTGCTTTCACCTAAGCAATAAAGCAGATTCATTTTGAGCAAGGACTTTATCATAACCCTCCTAAATGTTTCCATGATCCTAGAATGTAGCGCGTTCCATAAAGAAGAACCTACAAAGAATTGTTTATAATAAATTATATTTATGATAAAAGGACTTTCAAAAACTCTTTTCTGATAATTTCAATATAATTAATTTATTCGAATGCCTTCTATGCCCCTGCCCTGTCCTCCTGCTGCCGTGCTGCTGCCTCGCCCTGCCATGAGCTGTCCCTTCAGCACCACAACCACCACAGCAGCCGCTGAACGACTCAAAGCCTTCCAATCAACCCCATCAGTTAATTGTCTCGTGAAAGAAGAGTGCTGCCATCCTATTCAGACTCTAGGGATATATGTTTAAGAGACATAAATCAAACTATTCAAATTGAGTTCTGAATTATGCATATGTGAAAGTAGTCATTTAGAATAAATTATAAACACTGGTAATTTTATAAACCAGTACTTGTAGAAAAGACAAAGAAATTCCTTCAAAACTATATATTTGATAAATCTATATGTGCTTGAAAATTCTGTCAGAATTTCAAAGCAAGAAATAATTTCTTCTCAACAACTAAGCATGCATAATAGAATTCCTAAACAGCCAACTAATTTTACTAAATCCCACTTTATAAAACTTCATTTTTTGTACAGGTAGTAAGCGTATATTTTCTTTCCAAAACATTTAAGTGTCTATATGATAAAAAATTCTTTCTCTGTAAGCACTAAAAGATCATATGAAACAACATATTTGATGTGCTGCAGAACTGTGTTTCTTAGTCAATAGAAAAAATGAAAAAAAAATCAATCTGAGACTGTCATCTATGCATATACATGACAAGATGACATTAAAAGTCCAGGTTTAAAACCAGCACTAAATGCATTAAACTCTAGAGAGACTATTTAAATAGCCACAAAGTTATTGTCTTCTACTATATGTTTATACCTATAAATGCACTTGCAAATTTCAGATGTAACTCAATGTCCTGGGTTCAGCTAGGGTGGAGTTCATTTCTTCTCAGTACCTGTTACAGTGCTGCATTTCAGATTCAGAATGAGAATGGTGATCTGTGGGATCTCAGCACCTCAGGACTGAGGTGCTGAGCCACCGAGACCACCCTTGGGGGGCTCGGGAGTCCTGGAATGTTGCCAGAAGTGTCTGGTGGCAGGACTTTGATCCTACACGGGAGACGACACCTGTATGAGGATAGGAGGATTTCACCAGGGTGAATGGTGAAGGGATTAGTTAATTAGAGGGTGAGACACAGGGTTTAGGATTTATGTACAGGGGGGTTTAGAGAAGTAAGATGGAGGAATTGGGGCATGTCCTGTCCTTCTTCTTCTTCTCCTCCATCTTCTTTGGTGATGGTGGCACTTTTGGATTGGTCATTACTGAAAGTGCACCGGACAATAAAAATAAAAAGGATTGGGGAAAAATGATAAATATTGTACACGTAACCATGGGTATAAAGATAGGCGACTGTCCGGAGGGCGGACACAGTGTGCTCATGGCTGGCTGCTAAGCAGACCTCTGTCGGGCCGAAAGAAAATCTTTTAGATAAACATTTAATAAACATAAAAACCGAAAGAAGAACTGAAGCCTCTTCTCGTCCTTTGATACGCGGGCTGCCCCAAGGCCACTCCGGGCCTTTCCAGGCCCTTCAAACAGCCGAAAACCGGACAGTGATCATAGCACACAGAAGTTTTGTTTTTCTGAGAAGTTGTGTTTATCCTTAGTCAAAGACACTTTTTTTTTTTTCCTATTCTCATGCTTATGCAGTGAGTACAGAAGAAACTGGCTGGAAGCATGGCTGAGACAGGTGACCCAAAGAGACCAAAGGGTTATTCCATATCAGAGAACATCACGCCCATTATATAAACTGGAAGAGTTACTCAGAAGGGAAGTCCAACCTGGGTTCAGGAAGGAAGGTCTGGAATCTGTCAGCTGGTGGTGAGCAATTGCATTGTGCATCACTTGGTTGGTTGGTTGTGGTTTTTTTCTTCTTTTTATTATAATTCTTCTTATTATTTACCATTATCATTGCTTTTTACTGTATTTTCAATTATTTAAGTGTTCTTACCTCAACGTAGAAGTTTTACTTCAGTTCTCCTCCCCATCAAGGCAGGGGGGTTGAGGTTTGAGAATGTGGCTGTGTGGTTTTTTATCTCCAGCTGGGCTTAAAACAACAGTCCTTTTTGGCACCCATTGTGGGGCTCAAAGGGTTGAGATAAGGACAGATCTGACCAGGGGATGTTAAAAGAAAATTAATAGGAACATTCATTGCATTTGTTTAACAGTTGCTAGTTACAATGTGGACGTACTTGCTCTCCTACTTGTGGCTTTTTGTGTGTATTATACCAGTAATACACTCCTTGCAGTGCATGTTCTCAGTGGTGCATTTCATAGGATTAGCTAATGGTGTGACAGTGTTGCTGGCTGGGACACCAGTCTGGTGTCTGCATCCAGTATTGCAGGCACTCCGTGCTTTGGGAGCCATCTCCTGGGAATGATTAACAGTCACATCTTTGTTGTTTTCTCCGCAGAGGAACAATCTGTTGGGAAGACACCTTCTTAATTTTTTTCTCCCCTCTTATTTTCCTCTCTTGTCCTGCAGGCTGATTACAGTAGTTCAGAATTTTAAAGATTTTGGATATCCTTTGACTACCCTTGAAAGCAAATTGCTTTGTTTTGGTATTTTTTTGTTAGGAGCATGCTGTTCTCTATGGTTCAGTTCTTCTGTAAGGTCATAAAAATAACTAAGATTATTATCTAGAGGTCTGCTGAAAAGCTGGATATTTCAGAGTTGTGGGGTGTGTGGTATTGTATGGAGAAATACCCAGGGCAGTTGGTACCTCCAACATGTTTGCACCTGACCTCTGAATAAGTCCAGAAGCCAGAAAAACGAGTAAATTTTTTTTTTAAAGTGTCCTGGCACCTGGCACTCCAAAGAGAGCCCAAATCACTGCCATGTGTTGGGGCCTGGCCCAGGTTTATTGAACCATAGTCAACACTGCTCAGTACCTGCAGGAGAAAAAGAAGGTCTCTAAATCTGACAATGAGACAACAACAGGCCCTGCAGCTGTTCCACCACTATGACAGACACTGTGTGTTGGATTGTGGCTGCAGTGTAATAGTTAAGAAGAATTTACATTTGCTCCTTTTTGATGTAATGAGGAGATTGTTCGTGCTGGAAAGTTCAGAACTCCACCTTGTGGTGGCAATTTTAACTGTAAGTTGAAAACAGGAGATGGAAAGAAATACTGAGATGCAACCAAAAAAGCAGGAGAAATTCAGGTTTGAACTACAGTGAATAAATTCTGTTGAGGTTTAGTTGAAGAACCTTTCAAATTCACTTAAACTGTGGGGCAAAGAAAAACTGTATAAGGATGTCTTTATTTGGGAAAAAAAAATTACAGAACATTACAATGTGTAATATTCACTGTGGAGATAGGCTTTCATCACTGCTCTACTCCTTCTGTCAAGACAAATGCCTGAAGCTAGCAACAAATGCCAAGCATTCTGCTGGACTTGAATTGTTTAAGGAAATCCAGACTGACCATCTCCCACTACAGACTGCAATAAATTCCTGATAATCAACAACATAAATTCCATCACTCTATGTTTCTATATGAAAAGCAAATAATCTACTAGCAGAAGATCCATTATTTTAATTTCTAAAACAATGTCTAAGTATATAAGCACTTGGAATTTTCCCCCAAATTAAAACAAATTGGTCATAGCATCAGTCTGATGTACAGAAGTTGAAACATTCATATGCTTATATCAACAAAAAGTTCCAGGCACTACCATTTTAATTATAGTGTTGTGGTTTCATTTTTCATTATCCTACAGAAAAAGAGGTTTAAGGATGACAAGTTGGCCAAGCAAGTAACTATTCCAAATTCATAGAATTCCACTGATGCTCTGATTTACCTGTTTATTTTTGGTGAGAGCACAATGCATTTTGAGGATCCCTGTTTCCTTTCATTATACTGCTGACTTGTAACTGAGAATAAGAGATCTACAGCTGATGTATCTTTGCAGAAAGCATAAAGTGAATTATCAAAGTTATTAAAAAAACCCCAAAATGCTACTAATTTATAGTAAAAATATTTGTTTGGTGTCTTTGTTTGTTTACACAGTTTAAATAATTATTTTACTTGGAAAAATCATTACCATGCCACAGAAAGTCTTTTCCCAGGGAAGAGGCCAGTTCTTGTATATCTTCAGTCACAGAAATGCATAAGGTAAAAAACCCAGAGTGTTAACTGCCAGCAATCCACAGCTGTTCAGTGTAAGTAACAAACCCTAATTCCTGGTCAGATAGTCCTTTATTACTGGAAGTATCAATTTGTTGCAAGAGATATGAATAGCTCTACATATCATCACATACAAACAGAAGAAGACATCATCAACTTGTCCTTTGTACTCCCTTCTATGCCATCAGGAGTCCCCTGCAGAAGGAGGGTGCTGATAGCAAAGTACAGATACTCTGACAGAGTTCAAGACACGTTTTGCCAACTCTCCCCGGCACATGGTGTGATTCTTGGGGCCCTCTGCTCAGGGCCAGCAGTTGGACTCGATGATTCTGATGTTTCCTTCCAACTCAGCATATTCTATGATTATATTCTATGATTCTGTGCTAATCTTCTTAGAAAGGACATTAGAAATAGTCTTAGAAATCTATTCCTGTGTTTACTGTACACCAGAGAACATTGTGCCTCAACAGCTCACACTAAAAACATGTCTGCACAGAAGCACTGACTTGCTAGTATTTCAGAAAACCATTGTGCAAAGCTTAAAAAACAAGGACCAAGCCTTTTCAACAAATAAGTGAATTCATACCTGTCCCTGGAATATACCCTCATGGACCACCACCAGACTCTTTAAAATTATTCCATATTTATAAACAAATCTGCATCATCCTAATACACAAGACATACCCACTGGTACATTTCTATCCTGACATGAAACTAGTAGCAAAAGCAATAAATAGCTTATATTCAGGGATTGCAGACAACTATAAACATTTAGACCATGATAGTATAAAATATTTACCCACCAGAAAGAATAAAACCTACAGTGCTGCTATACTTGCTAAAAATACTAAGATTTCATTAATTTTTAGCATGGTAGCCTCTTAATGAACTGTTGCTACCATTATTCCATGCTGCACAAAGAAATCAGAATGAAGGCCTGCCAAACTTATGTGTTCAATTGCAGCAGAACACTGTAAGAAAATAAAGGTTTTAGTAAAAGAAATTAAATACTTATCTTCCTTTGGTTCCTATACTGATCAATGCACCCTACTGTGGAGAGATAGAATGTAAGAAAATAAAGACAGTGCAGAAGGTTGTCTCACACCTGAGGAGTTGCAGCTGTACCAATCACCAAAGATTAGGGACAGCCCTGCTCTTAACAGGCCACAGCTGTGTCCAATAAGGATGAGTGCTACAAAAGAGTGGGTTAGCTGGGTGAGGAGAGGGTTGGAGTTTGTTGGTTGGCTGTGAAGAAGGAGTTAGTGTTGCAAAGAGCTGACCATGAGACACCACCGAGAAGGTATGGAACTTTTGCAATAAGATGACAATGCTCTGCCTTGAGGCACGTGAATTAAAATTGAGCTTGTTGTATGAATTATTGTAGCATAATAGATATTACCCAGAACAGGCAAGCAAAAAAGCACATCATACCATGACTTCTCCAAAACACAAACATTTAAATTTGCAGGTTTATGTACCTCAATCACCAGGGAAATAAGAAGTTTCCTAGATCTTCTCTCCTTTCAGTCTTATCTTTTCCCTCAGATTCCTACTCCCAACCTGCCCATAGAGCTCTCCTCACTTTAGAAAAATAGGAAGGAGTTTCATTTGGAACTTCTCTCTCATTTGGAATTTCTCTCATTTTCAGAATTTCCAAGTTCAAAATTCACTAGATATACCCATGTAACTTTTTCTACTTTTTATGCTCATTCTCTCTGGCAGTAGACGACAGCAAGTAAAGCACTATATACTTGGTTATTATCTTCTTGGGTCTGATGCCTTCCTACAGCTTGTAAATGTATTATTTTTGTTATGGTATTTCAAATGTCCACTTTTAAGGATGGTTTATGTATGCACTCTGTCTGTGACAGCACTTAATGTTTTATTACAATTTTTATGATACAATGAGTTTTAGAGAGGGAAGCTATTGGCAATAACTTAGGGTCAGTTTCTAAGTGAGAAATTGTTTTCTGGAAGAATCTCAGCCTATATGCCTTTCTCACAGCCAATTTCTTACAAGATACAATATTCAGAGTCCATGTGAAGTACTTGTTTTCATTGGTGGTAATTTGGTATGAGCAGATTTTCTACAACAATTTCTCCAAGTTTTTTTTTTTTTTTAGCTCCTCAGGGATTCCACTCATCTGCCAAGAGCCAAGGAGCTCAGCTGAGCAGTGTCTTGGCACCTTCTCCTGCACTGATTCACCCAAGTTTTGCCCTGCCCTGGGACTGCCACTTGCTGATTCTGCCTTTGGTGCCTCTGTTCTTTGTGAAGCCACCATTTTTGCCTTGCTCGGCACCATTAGTCAGTTTTGTTGGCAATCCCTCACATTAAGAAAAAATACAGAAGTAGTCCAAGGAAATATACTTTATAGAAGAAATTCCACTGAAAAAATTAAATCAAACCCATTAAAATCTAAACAAAATAGAGTTCTGTAAGCAGAATTTTTGTTTCTTGAACAAAAGAAATTAAGAAATTCTAAAAAGCAGATGTATAAAGAAAGAATCTTAGACATGTAATAAATCCCAGTGTTTACGATGAAATGCACACTACTTCTACATTTTTAGAAAAAAAACTGTATGACTTTCTCAATCTTAAATTGCATTTCCTATGAAAGTTTTTAAGTAGTATCTGTTTCAAAATCTGTATATTCTTTTGTGAACTACCAACAACAAAGCCAGCCAACAACTTAGAACAATTAATTATGTAAACGCATTGATTATTTGCATACAGTATTTAACATTCTCAGGTAGTCACAACTGTTCATAGTCATGAGAATTTAAGTCCAACTTTTGCAATTCAATATTTGTAAGGATATTCATGCAAAATACTTGTGGCACTGCATATATGACTTTCATTTTCCAGACACCAATTTTTTTGTCCAATTTATCAAATATTTCTGATATATATGGCTACAGCCACAGGCACCTTTCCCTTCTGTGAAAAAATACAGGCAATAAAGCACAGCAATATATTAGAGTACTATTCCTAAAGCAGCTTCCTTCAAACTCAGGTACTTTTCCCTTTAAAATATGTTATCTCATCAAATCAACTTCTTACTTGGGTATGATCTCATTTCCAAGAAGCAGTAAGATTGCCTGCTTGTGGAGGACAACTTTAAAATTACTTATAGTGTAGAATGGCTTTATTTAGACTTAAACGAGCAACCACAGAAATCAACACACAAGTTAATTATGGCTACATTTTAAAAAGTATTTCTGAATTTTATAAATATATTATATAGGAATACATAAGGAGAATTTTTTTACAAAAATTTCAAGTTTCTTTAAAACCAAGCCAAATTAAGTACCAACTGAATAAAGATATGTTGCTAATACTTGCAATAATAATACTTGCTAATTTAGTAGTTTAATGTTGAAAAAAGAAAACAATATTTTGTTTTAAATGTTGTAGCTTGATTGCAAATAGCAGAGTTTATGATTAAAAGCTTTGATACAAAATCTGGTTTAATCTTACTATCTATGGTTTCTGGTGTGTGTTATTGATAGATGAACTGTAGTGTATTCTTAAAGAAAAGTAAACCTGTAAAAAATTTCTTTGCTCTTCTTCTTAATGATTTGATTAAATGAATAGAATTTATGTGGAAAAAAAGGTGTCAATTCTAAAGGTTATGCTTTTTTTTGATAGAAAATTCCTAGGCATAGTACCAAGAAGCCAAATATAATGCAAAACAAACCTTTTTATTTCCAGGAAAGGAGGAGGAGGTACCAGAAAAGGTCATTTGAAAATGTCATGGGAAAGTGTAGTACCAACTGCAGCATTTATAGTAATAAAATAAATAGTATAGAAAATAAAAATAAAAATCAATCCTTCGCAAAC